GGCCACGTGGGCCTTGTAGGCAGGACCCAGGTGATGTCAGGCCACGTGGGCCTTGGGTCTAAAGTAAGTGAGAACAGAGCCCTTGGAGGGTTTTCAGTGGAGTAGAGACATGCGTTGATGTCTGTTTAAAAGGGCTATGTTGGCTGCTATGCAGAGGGTAGGCTGTAGGGGGCAGGAGTGGAGGTGGAGCAGGTAGGAGGCAGGAGGCAGTGTGGGGTCCAGGGGAGAGACCAATGGCTTGGACCAGAGTGTCACTGGGAGAACAGGTGGTCTAGGGTCTGTTTGGATGGCAGAGATGACAGCTATGTTGGTGACTGGCTATCAGTCATCAGAAAGGAGAAGAACCACAGATAAGGTCAGTTTAGAGGGGGTGGTGACCTGCCTTGAAATGGACTGGCTTTGGTCGAAGCTGGTTGGTGGGCTGGGTGGCCACTGTGGGATTGTGGCCACATTAGGGTGAGACCTAGCAGAGGTGTTGGGTAGACAGTGGGACGTGGAGGTCTGCAGTTCAGGGAGAGTCGGGTAAACTGAAGGTGAAAACAGGCAAGGTGGGGGTCCTAGTGCACCCAGGTACTGCTGCTGTGAAGACCGGGGGGAGAGCACGGGGCGGCGGGGGTGCCGAGCTGAGGCAGGCTGCGGGAGGAGGCGGAGGCAGCACGGGAGACAGAGGCCCGATGGAGGAGACCGGATGGAGGAGACCTGCGAGAGAAGGCGTCCTGAGGGCGGGGGGCAACGGAGGGAGACAAGGAGGGGGCGCCCGGAGGGCAGGAGGGGGCGTCTGTGCACTCCTCTACTAGAGAGCCAGCTGGAGTCTGAGGACTGACCACTGAGCCTGCCAGGACATCCTGTCGGTGACCTTGACCTAGAACCCTGTAAACCCTAACTAAATCAACCAGATACATAGCCAGAACAATGTTTTAACGTGTTGTTAACTATTTTATGTCAGGAAGAAAGGAAGAGAACATTCCAGCTAAAATGTTAAACCCCATAGTGTGTGGATTAAATAATGAACCAGATCAGCAAACCGCAGCTTCAGAAGTAGGTAAGGAAATACCTTCTCTAGTCTCAATTCTCACCACTTTGCTATGAAGTATTTAATTTTAGTGTAGCCATAAGTTATTTATTTTTATTCTAATGACTTGAATGATCATCAGATTTTTCATGATGTACTGAAGGCCTTAGATAACTTCGTGTTTTATTTGCTAAGTTACATAATAAAGAATAACTCAGTGTTAAGTTAATTTTGTACATGCCTTTTTATGTATAGCTAATTTATTTTTACTCTTAGCGCAAGATGCTGTCTTCGTCTTGCTATTGGAATTTCACAAACTGATGTGGCAGATTAGATGAAGAATTTAAAAATTTGTTTTTGTTTATATCTTCATCTCTCCTGGTTCGTTGTATGAACAAGATATCCCACAATCAAGATTTCTGAAATGCTTGCTTATGGCACATTGGGGGAGTTGTTCCCGTGGTTTGTTAAGGCTGGCACGCAGTCCTTGGCTCTGTTGATAGGGAGTGATTAGACGTATGCATTTGGACTTTGGAAAGGGGCAACTCCTGATTAAATATCAGTAACTGTAGCCCTCTGTGACTTTGGGCTCCATTCTTCAGAAACATTAAAATTCTTGAGTAACCTTTAGAGTAAAATGCAGTGTGAATCTTGACCCTAGGGAAGGATAAAGATTTTTCTAGGCTGAACTTGCCCTCTAGCTGAGTGTTGCTTTCGTTCTTGGTCATTGTAGCTGGAATGATGATAAGCACACCCCCTGTATGGGCGCTTGGCCCCGGAGAACTCATGTTTGCAGGAGGAGCGTGTTCTGTTCGCTGATCTGTGGCTCTCTGTCCCCAGTGGGTCACCTCACACATGGCGTATCTAGGTCTGCAGCAGTCTGGGATGACTGAACAAAAGGTGGCTAACGGGAGCCGGATGGCTTCTTACTGATGAAAACGCTTTTCACAGTGGGCATGCATGTCGTCACTAAACCATATCCTGGATTTTAGTTTTGCGGGAGTTTTTCTCAGCTGAGGGCTCCTGTCGGAGGGAAACGCCCAGGCGGTCCCTGTATCGCAGGAGAGAGAGGCGCGCGGTGGCAAGAGGGGCGACTGCCATCCTCGGGGCAGCTGTGGTGTAGACAGGACCCCGCATCCGAGTCCAGGGGGCGGCAGGGGTGCAGCACTCCCCTGCTTAGAGCCGGCGCGTGGCTGGGCTCCCTGAGCTCCTGTTTCCCCCTTTGTGAGGGGTGTGGAATCGCCTGCCTTGAGAGGAGATGAGATGAGGCTTGTAGTGTGGCCAGCGTGTCCAAGGCACACGGGGAATAAACCCTGCTTCACTCATTTCTAGTCGCTTTAGTTTAAGAGGGATCGTGGGGGAAGGGGGCCACAGAGCACCCCAACACAAAGCTCGTTCTAATATGGTGCAAATGGATTCACGGGAAACTGAGATAGTTATTGAGAAATGCATTGAACCCTTTACAGCTAGTATCTCTAAGCGTGGAAATCGCTGCGCTCGGTGGTTAAGAAGCACACAAGGCTGCGAAGTTGTTTCTCAGCTGAGCTCCTTTTGCAGAGATGAGAATGAGGCTGCCGCCCCCTGGTGGCCGTGAGCAGACGCCTCCGCACTGCGCGGTCCCGTCGTCAGCGCTGGCCACTCACAAAGGTCGTCTTACACTGGCAGGAAGCTTGAACTGACTTCAGAGCGTTTGAAATCGGGCTGGTCCACAGCTACAGTCCCTCAGTCTCTCTCGCTGAGTGTGATTTCCGGATCCAGGGCTGCTGGTCTGCTCGGTCAGCCTGTCATCACAGACTCCTTTGTTCTTAGAGCGTCAGAGGACAGTTGTGCCCATGTGTGCCTGCTGCCCGGGGCCCGCCACCACCCGCTCCACTTCACCAGGGCCGGCAGGAGGGGGCGCCTGGCTGGGTGCTTGGTGTTTGCTTCTCTGGGGGCTTCAAGGACTCAGCAGGAATCTACCCGTTTCTTTCTCAGAATGTGAACGTTTTCTCCCCGCACTCCATATTGCAGTGCAACCTGTATAACATGCCTGTTCTCTTAGCAATTACAGGGCAGTTTCTAGTTTTTGTGGCATGTTAAGTCTTATCTTTTTTTTTGCTTGGATTCCCTCATTTTACTTTGTTTTATTTGAACTTTTTAATTATGAAAATACAGAAAAGTAGAAGGATTAGTACGATTAACACCCATGTACCTCTCACCTAGATTCAGTAGTTCTGACATTTTACCATATTTGCTTCATCTGTAGTTGTAGGTTTTTACGAACCATTTCAAATTGTATTAGAGACATCCTGATACGTTTCCTATAAATACGTTAGCATGCAGCTCAAAGAAAAAAAGAGATTCCCCTACATAGCCACAAAACCAGCGTCACACCTAGCAGAACTGTCATTCTCCAAAGGCGTCTGAGACCCCAGGTTGTCTCCTAATTGTCCCCAAGATGTTTTTCATGTTCTTTTTCTTTTCCCTCACGCAGTGCCTTTTGGCGAGATGAGGTTGCTCGTCTTGTAGACGGCTCCACCTTCTGGATTTTCTGATTGTTGCCCTCTGCTCCCCTCCACCCCCCTGTGTTTTCAGTTAGGTCTGCAGGCTTGACTGGATGTGGGTGAGACAGCACCCGGTGTGGGTGACGCGGCACCCTTCATGTGTGTGTGCCTGCAGGCTGCTCCCGGTGTGCGCGTGCAGCCAGCAGACGCCCAGCTCGTTCTCAGCGCTGGCTATTCTGTCGCGTTGAGCTTGGACGTGTCCAGCACTTGGTGTGGCTACAGTTTGCGCAGAGCACTGACAGACTGACGCTTGCGTGGTGGTGTGCGGGCTGCCCGCCTGGTTGGTGAGGGCCCGGGGCCCCTCAGCCAGCACGGTGCTCCTTCCTGCGCGTTACCCGTTTAGTCTTTGGCCGGCTCGTCTGTCGGGAGGTCAGGAGCCTGCTCGGGGCAGCGGTCAGTGAATGGACACGCGGTCCTTTGAACCTGCGCTGTCTTGACACCAAGGCCCCCAGCCTCACCCCTCGGTTACTAGGTAGTTCCAAGCCACACATTTTGCTAATTTTGCCGATTCGTAGTACATAGTTTCAATTTTTTTTGGGGGGGGGATCTCATTGCCATGGAGTTGGTTCTGACTCATAGGCGACCCTATTGGACAGAGTAGAACTGCCCCATAGGGTTTCCAAGGAACGACTGGTGGATTCGAACTGCTGACCTTTTAGTTAGCAGCCGAGCTCTTAACCATTTAGTTTTTGAAGGCTGTTATTCGGCACAGTGGTTAATCTGCCCTCTGTGATTAAGACTTGATTGTAGTAGTGTTTATCAGGACATGTGTAGTCTGTCTTCAGCTCTTTCTCTTGTAGGAATCTGGGGTTTAGGAAAGCTGACTTAAAGATCCCACTAGAGCTTTGAAAAGATAAAATTGTGCAAGGTGTCCTTGGAATACAGAGACCAGACGATGCATCTGTGATTTGCTCACTGTGCTGGGGGCTTTGTAGAGCATAGGAAGTGCTGGACACTGCCAAATAAAATATTACAGAACTTAAAATAATTGGGCTGTTTTCTTCTAAAACTGATGGTTTACAACTGCCAAGCTTATATCTACCTTCAGATTTGTTTTTTAAAAATTTAGTAACGTTTCATATGCATTCTTCGGCTGCCCTCAATAAACTGTTATAAATAATGAACTGTTTGAATCAGACTGTTGAAGTCCACATTGTTCTTATAGCTTGAAACAAACACCCTTAGAAAATCTTATGTTTTCTCTCTTCCATAGTTCTCTTACATACGTAGAGCAGTTCTTTGCTAGTTAATGACGGAATAATTCTGATATAAGTGATTTCTTTGAATACGTTTAAGAATTTGTAAAATTGTATTTCCGGACAGAGAAATGTTTCCAATTGTATTTTTGTCTCCTGGTTTTTTTCAGAGAGCGGTGGGTCCTTTAGGGAACGGAGTGGCTGGCCAGCTCTGGGCCCTGCCATGCTTCACACCTGCTTCTCTAGCAACACCATCCCTCCCCGTATACTGTGTGCTTTTAAAAGAAACAAATATTTACTTTCTCAGGTTTTTTATTTTTTTCATAAACTTGGGCCCATCAGTCAGTAATCAGTAGCCAAGTATTTCAGAATTTTCAGTATGTCTCGGACGGTACCCAGATCATAAACCAAACCCATTGCCGTTGAGTTGATTCTGACTCAGTGACCCTACAGGCCAGAGTAGAGGTGCCCCACAGGGCTTCCAACACGGTAATCGTTATGGGAGCAGATGGCCACATCTTTCTCCCGTGGAGCGGCTGGTGGGTTTGAACTGCTGACCTTTGGGTTAACAGCCGAGCATTTAACCACCGCGCCACCGGGGCTCCTCCTAGTATGTGCACTGTGTGAAAACTGGTTTTCTTCTCCTGCTTTCCCAGAGCCTCCACCTGTTTGCAGCCCCTCAGCTCCTGGGCCTGGCCTAGTGGGGCGCTGGTAGAAATGGGTAGTGTCAGGCTCGTTCTAGAAATGGGAAGTGCTGCAGGGGCCCCAAGCTCTCACCTGGGCTGATGGACTGGGGTCGGCTCAGTCTAGGCTCCCTTTGCCTCTCTCCCTACCCCAGAGCCACGGCAGCCAGGGAGGTTCCTCATGCGTGGCCTCAGAAGCTGCCCCCGGCCCGCGCTCAGCCAGCTTGCAGCGTGGGCCAATGTCGCTAATGCGTGTGCTGTGTGCCCATGAAGCCGGTGACCCCAGCCCTCGCGTGCACAGTCTTAATGACCAATTTTACACTGTCTCATGTCAGGAACGAGAGAAGCTAGTACTCATTCAGCTAGTGTTTCAGATGTTAATTCCACTAGTCTGTGGCGGGAGAATGCTGAGCCGGAGCCAGCGGCGAAGCCCAAAGGTAAGAGGAGTGCCCGCTTCCCCCCCTTCCCGGTGAGTGCCTCCAGGGAGAGCGGGCAGGTGTGCAGGGAGGTCCTACCTGCGTCTCTGGCCCACACGGAGTCCGGTCTCTTCCTGTCCTGCTGGGAAAGGCCTGACCGTGGCAGATGGTGCTCTCTTGGTTTTTGAAACAAGCTGGAACGGAACCAAGGTCACTGCCTGATCACATTGGACTCGCTCTTGCATGCCTTCTGAGGGAGAACGGGCGGCAGAGTTCTGTGCCTGCCACAGATGCTCCCTGGACATGGTCTGAAAGCTGCTGCCTATACATCCCCCGAGTTGAGCAGACCACTAGTGTGATTTTTCTACCTGAGTGTCCCTCCAGTGTCCAAAGTGGAGCCACAGTAAAATCCTGTTTTTGGCCAACTTTTTCTCTGTCTTTCTTTTTAAGGCCCTGGAGCCCCTAGCAGGCTTGACGGATGCCAGTGCCCCCCATCACAGTGTGGTATCCCAGGAAACTGGGCCTGTGCAGGCATGGGCACTGGGCTGGGGATGGGTAGATGGCAGTGTTGTGGCCAATGATGCTGTGGAGGGCTGGGCCCACAGACTGGACTTTGGATGTTTGTGGATGTGCTCAGACAGAAGGCACGTGCTGCGTACCAGCTCTGTGTCAGCTGGGTTCAGAGCTAAGGAAGCACGTGCATTGGCGATCGGGTCAAACACCTGCTGGCCTGCGAGGAAAAAGTGAGTCCAGGGAACAGGGGGGTCTGAGGCCGTCCAGGTGAGGGATGGTGTCTTTGGGGACCAGACTGTAGGTGGCTCAGGAGGGTGCCAGGAGATTTCTGGGAGAAGGACCTGCATGAGCAGTTAGAGAGTGGTGGACAGAGAGTTGGGGTGAGTGTGTGCCCAGCCCTGGGCCATGCTAGGGAGTCTGGTCTTTATTAAGAGCAGTGGGGGCTGATGATATTTTTAGGAAGAGTGACACAATCCTATTTCGATTTTAAAAACAGCATCGTGCTTAATTGGGGAGGCTTAAAGAATAGTCCAGAGATGAGATGAGAGTGGTTTGGATGATGATGGGGTGACAGGGAAGTGGACAGGTTCCCAGGATGTTTATGAGTTGGAGTCATTGGCGTGGACGATGGTGGGGTGATGGAGGGGATGTGGACGGGCTACTGGGATGTTTATGAGTTGGAGTCATTGGCGTGGACAATGGTGGGGTGATGGAGAGGAAGTGGAGGGGCTCCCGGGATGTTT